CTTCTAACACAGATCTGTTGGTTCTTTTGGCAGCCCATGGCACTTTCAATATTCTCCTCCAACACCATAACTCAAAAGCATCAATTCTTCTAAGGTCTTCCTTATTCACTGTCCAGATTTCACAAGCATATGAGGTTACTGAAAATACCATGGCTTAGGTCAGGCACACCTTACTCTTCAAGCTGACATCTCTGCTCTTCAATGCTTTAAAAAGGTCTTGTGCAGCAGATTTGCCTAATGCAATACGTCTTTTGATTTCTTGACTGCTGCTTCCATGAGTGTTGATAGTCGATCCAAGAAGAATGAAGTCCTTGACAACTTCAATCTTTTCTCCGTTGATAAGTATATTGTTTATTGGTCCAGTGGTGAGGATTTTTGTTTTCTTTACATTTAGATGTAATCCATACTGAAGGCTGAGCTCTTTGATCTTCATCAGTAAATGATTTAATAACAGGTAGTGCTTTTCTTATACATGCTAAATTTTCTAGAATGAGCACATATTATGTTAAAAGATACATTAGAATGATAATATTAACTGCATTGTGTACTCAACCTTTTTGCTGTTGTTGCTAAGTATCTTTGAGTGGGTTCTGACTTTAAAGCATTTCTGAGGAGCAGCTGGTGGATTTGAATAGCCAACCTTGTGGTTCAAACAGAACCCACCTGTGGTTGAGTGCTTATCCTACAGCACAAAGCCAAGACTCCATACTCAACCTAATCAAATTAAATTACAAAGCAATAATCTAAGAGGTCTTTAAATAAAGGGTATTATCTTTCAATATATTCAACAGGGGCAAAGAAATTCCAAGTGACAGTAGAAGGAAACACAATGTAAAAGAAAAAGAGAGAGAGCGAAGGCTTTTTCCTCCACAAAAACCAAAATTCTTCAGAGTAACATACCTGAGCACAAATGCAGCCTGGGGGCCTCTCAGCTCTGCCTTTAATGTCCACAGCTCCATCAGAGCCATTTTAATGTAGAATGCACTTATTTCCACAGGTGTAGAAACCAGGCACAGGGTTCCAATCTGACTTCAGAGTACAACCTGGGTACCCAGTACCCAGAGGCAGCAAATCTAGGTCATGCAATGCTCCTGTCTGGTGCAAGATGAGCTTCCATAGGATCCATGTCTCAAGGGATCTGAGTTAAAGCAGGGAGGTGTCCCTACCAAACAGAGCTCTAGTCACTGAACAGGTATTCTTGGCAAGGGTACGAAACAGCCTTACTAAAAACCAAAGAGCCTAGTCTTCTAAAGTTTAGCCACTTTGTGTATTCATCCAGAAAATATTTTCCTGACTACCTAACAATTTGTTGGGAACTCACTCGATGGCACAAATGGTTAAGCCCTCAACTACTAACCAAAAGGTTGACCATTTAAGCCTACTCAAGAGGCACTTGCACCTCAGAAGAAAGGCCTGGTGATCTACTTCCAAAAGATCACCCACTGAAAGCTCCATGAAACAACAATTCTATTCTGACACACATGGAGTCAATTTCAACACACAGCAACTGCTTTGGGGTCTTGGATGAATATCAGGGTTAGAAAGGAAACTAAAACCTGGTCCCTGCCCTAAAGGAAAAAAAAAAGTTCTTAGAATATTAACTCAAAATGTCAAAGACACACCCACAAGGCCCACTTCTGTTAAACCCTCATACTTACTGAAGATCAATTACTCAAACTTATAAATTTAAAAAGTACAAAAGACAAAGGATCCCAGATTAGAATCAAAGGGAAAGACAGCCAGCCCCCTGCCGGCTGCTCTCTTTTACTCTTTCTCTCCCTTCTCACACCATCCAGGGACCAGGAATCCATTTCTTCTGCAGTACTATTTTTCTATTTCAGATAGAGATAACTGGGGCTCTTGCCCCAGGGCTCAGAATTTTTAGCAACATGATTGGTGGCAGGCTGCGGTCCCTTCTGCATCTCCCAGGATAATCTGAACAAGTGCAATTGCCAAGCCAGGTTAAAGCATCAAGTTTTACAAGATCCTTCTGAGAAGCAAAGGTTGTGGAATTTTAAAAGAAATTCAAAGCTGAAAAGGAATTCACATCAGCCTTAATCAATGTTGCATTTTAATAATATGCAAAAAAAAAAAAACAAAAAAAAAAACCCAAACCTGTTTAATATGGACTTTGTAGTCCTGGTATGGTGCTACTATTAATGAACTGAACTGCAAGGTCATTTTGAACTACAAGGTCTAGGATTCAAGCTCTCCAGTCACCACTTGGAAAGCTTATATAAAGTCACTGTGAGTCAGAACCAACTCGAAGGCACTTAACAATATGGGCTTTAAAGCATAATGTCTATATCCCATGGAATTGTACACTGTTACCATGGCGTTTTCAGGGAGCAACATGTAATGGAAAATAAGGAAGACCTTTCAATGGTACTAAAGAGGCCTGGTGGTACAGGGCTTAGCGCTAAGTACAGAAAGGTTTGAACCCTCCTGCCCGCAGCTCCTAGGGGTAAAGATGTAGCAGTTGTTTCAGTAAACAGCCTTGGAAAGCCTATGGGGTAATTCTACTCTGTCCTATAGAGTCTTTGGGAATTTGGGTCGACTCCACGGCAATGGATTGGTTCAATGAAACTATATGCAGTTATATATGCATTCAACAGAAAATATTGAAAAGAACATTTGCTATGGACTGGGGTAAAAATGCCAGAAAAGCATTCACAGAGGTGGGAATAAAAAACAAATGCCATTTCCTCGGAGGAAAGCAAGTTTGTAAATGCAGAGGATCAGAAAAGCAAGCAAAGGCTGAGGGTGAGTCAAGGCCAGAAAAATATTATCAGTGGACCTTAGAAAATGCATTTCCACTAGTTTCATACCTGATTCCAAAAGGCTAGACTGAAATGAGCAAATGCTATTTCAAGCCAGCATAGTATTCTAACTTGAGCAGGAAATTTTAGCAAAGTGCCAACGACAAGTTGGAAGTTTCTTCCCAGTATCTTTGACTGGATGGCTATCAGTATTTCCTAATTCTCTCACAGGATGACAAGTAGCAAAACCAAATCTACTGCCAACTCAACATCCAGACACAGGTTTCCAGGACACCTACTCTCTGTACAACTAATAGATACAGACAAGCTCAAGTGTTACTCTGCTAGAGGTTGATCCTCATCCCTGTTCAAGGCATTTCTGTGGAGAACTTCGTACAGGAGCAGCCCCACAAAAACTTTGAAGAGGTCAAAATATATCCTTTACGTTGTTTGAACACACCACCCAGTCCCCAGCCCTCCTGGGTGGAGTCTGGCCTGTGCCCCAGTGGTCCCAGTAGAGCTTGGCATCCAGGGATAGTCCTGTCTGTCTGGTTCTGCCTGCTGCAACCACCACCTGGCTTCCAGAAAGCAAGCGAGGTCCATTTTTAAATTCCCTTAGAAGTTTCACAACCACCAGTTAGGGTGAGGAGACAAAACACCCCAGCAGTTTGCTGACATTAAACTAAAAATATCTCGCTGCAAACAAAAGCCATCTTTTACAGGGCTGGCTCGGATGTCCTGAGGTTATATGTGGCAGTGCCTAAACAGATCCCTGGCAGCAGGTCGCCTAACAACTGTTCCAGACCTAGCCAACAGCTGGGCCGTTCAGATCCCCAGGCTGTCAAGGAATCTGGAAGCTGATGAGTCCTGCGTTTCCTATGGAAAGAACCGCTTTATATGCCATCCACACAATCACAGACTTTGGGTTTGTGTCGCTTCAAGAGCAGACGCTCACAGAAAGGAGAAAAAACAAAACCACCAAACCCCATTTCCTTCATAGGAAACGTGTTCCTAGCTCCCTCCTCCATGCAATTAGGAAAGCAAATTACTGTTGTTGACTACACAGAGAATGGCAACTCCGACACGTAAAAATGGGATTTCTGGACCAACGTGGCAGTGGGGGACTGCTGCGGGTAAGCGGGACAGGGGCTTGCGGAGAGACCACCTTTATCCCTTTCTTCCGAGGGTTCTACCTGTTGGGCTTCCAAACTAGGAAGCGAATCCCCGGCGGTCAAGCGCGCCGTCTCCCTTCCCATTCCAGATCCCAAACTTAACTTCACGCCCCGGGTGGGGGATGAATTTCGTCCCTCCCCCAATCCAGAATTTGGACTTGGAATTTGCCTAAACCACAGGGTCGGGGGACGGAGGTCGAGGGGAAAGGGCTCGTTCCCGCAGGGCTCGTTCCCGCAGGGCTCAGGGAACTCCTGCTGCCCGGAACCGAAGAGTCAGGGGATGCAACCTGACGGTCAGGCCAAAGTTATCTCCCAAACTGCAGTGGCCAAGGCGTGACCTGGGGCCTCCGAATCCCCCAAAGCAGGGTCCCCGGGGAGTTGGGGGTGTGGTGGTGCAGGCCCCGATAACACCAGCCCCAAGGTCACTATGGAGCTGGACCCCGGGAATAAACAGCAGGCAGCCGGCCCCTTCCTTCCTCAACCTGGTAGAGGGGCAGCGCCCAGCACCCAATCTCTCCCCATAACTGTTCAGCAATGCGCCGAGCCCCGAACACGTGGGATTCCAGCCCTAGGGTCTCCAGCCCGTTGCAGGGGCTCACCACCTCGCCAGGGCGTGCACCATTCATCCCTGGCCCCTAACCAGGAAAAAGGCAGTGAGCCCCGGCGCAGAGCAGCCGACTCCCGGCGCCTCTTTCATCCACAGACCGCAGCAGGAGCGTGGAGTTTCAGTTTCTTCTAGTCAACCCACCAACCCCGGCAGCCTTTCTCACAATCTCTACCTTTCCCTGCTCCCTCGCAGACAGACAGACAAGAGAGACACAAAGAAGAAAGAAAACTACCGCCCCTCCTGGTCCCATCCTCCAGTCCCGAACACGGAGGAAGAGGGAATCAGATTTTGTCTCTTCCTCCCCATGCCGCGGCGAGGACCCGGGTAGAGCCGGGAGGCAGGGAGCTCCGAGGTGGCCGAGGGAGAAGAGGTAAGATTGGAAGAGGCAGAAACCCGGAGCAGCGAGAGCGCGAGATAGAAGAAAATACGTATCCAACAAAACCACGCTAACGCGCCCCCTACCTGGGTGCAACATACTTTGGAAATAGAAGATGACCAGGATAAAGGATCCCAAGCAAGTGGCCAGCACCATCCGGCAAATTCTGTTCATCCTCATCACTTCCAGCAGCGCCGGCTTCATGGCTTTGTCCTGGCAGCCGGGGCCGAGGTGTCCGGGAGACGCTCCCGGAGCGCTGGAGCGAAGACCCCGCCGCGCGGACCCGAGTCCAGGAGGTGCTGGGTAGTACGGGGCAGGGCGCTGAGATAGGCTGGCTCGCTTCGCGGCCGCTCTCAGACCCTAAGCCCCGGGTAGGGGTGTGCAAGGCGCTGGAGTTGCTCTGGAAGTGCCGAGATGCGTGGAGCCGCGGGCTGCGCGCTCCTGCTCCTCCTCCGCCGCCTCCTCCGATCCCTCCCGCGGCCGCCGCTGCCTCCTCGCGGTCGGAGAGGCTGGGGTGCGAGCGGTGGTGGTGCTACCGCCGCCGCCGCTGCCTCTGCCTCGCGCTGTCCGCTGTGGGTATCGGACCGGCCCCCTCCCTCCTCTCCAAAGGCTACTTCATTGCGCTCCAATGATCTATATATTCCGGGGCTGGGTTTTACCAATGCAACTGGCAGCCCCTGGCGAGGGGAGGGCGCCGGCAGGGGCCGGGAGGAGGGAGGGACCCGCGCGCCGGGGCGGAGCGTCGCGTCCCCCCGCCCCTACCCGGGATATGGTCGCGTCCAGCTGTTTCCCGCGGAGCGCGGAGTGCGCGTCGCGCTCCCGCAGGGTCCCAAAAGCCCTCTGTCCCCGGCCGCTCTCGACCGCCGTTTGGAGGTTGTGTCAGCGTTTCCATGACAAAAACCGGAGGAAAAAAATACGCATAAAATCGCCTCGGTGCTGACACCCACTCCTGCCAGCGTTTGGAGAGGGAAGTAGTGAAGAGCGGGTGGGGCATCTCTGGTCCGAGAGGGTCCGGTGGCAAGCGTTTATTTAAAATCCCTGGGAAGGCAGGGGAAGCTGCCCCAACCTCCTCGGAAGCTAGATGCCCTTTTCCCAACGCTCGGAACTTAGCGGTTTCGTTTTCTTTCAAACGACAGCCAGCTTTAAGTGTCGTTTGAAAAAGGGTTGAAGAGGACTGACTACAAGTCAAGGTTAGAAAAACTGTGTGCCCCGTCGGGGTCAGGAGGCAGCCAGGCTTTACCGGGGACATCTGCAGACAGTGTCTCGCCCCACACCCCCAACTCCACACACACTTCAACAAGAAAAAGGGGGTTGTACATTTTTTAATTCTAATTCCCCTAGGGGTAGATAGAGCTTCCTTCGAATTCTCCAAAGGGCACACGAGTCTCAGCAGGGTGGTAGCAGAGGATTCTCGCACGAAGTCAACGTCATCCGAATCCATCAAACTACTGGGAAACAAAATAGGCCTTAACATTAGCAGGTAAATGAAAAAGATGGCATTGTTTTACTGTCTTGTGTAAAGTGATTTGCAACTGTCAATTCTGTGTATTTAAGTTGCTTAGCAATTAACAAAGTGGACCGGATGGAGACAAGTAGTGTGAAGCTTTCTGGTTCATCTGTCGGGTGTTAGCTGGAGAAACTAGGCTAGTATGTATAGTTCCCTCATTTACTACCTAGAATGGAAGATCCTGTTATTCTGTGACTGTGGTTTCGTTAATAGGCACTGTTATAGCCACCTATTTTCCTTATAATATCACACATACCGTGTTGTTGTTTTTAAGTTAAAAGAATGTTTTCATTCCAACAATAAATGTGGATTTATTTAATGTCAGTAAAAAAAATGTTATTGTAAAGACTGACTTGTACCTTACTATCAACATATTAAGGAGTCCTGGTGTTGCAAACAGTTAAGCACGACAATGATAACCTTAGCTTGTCTCCTTGAATCCACCCAGCTGTTCCTAGGGAAAAAAGGCCTGGTGAGCTACTCTGTAAACATTAGAAAACCACAGGACACAGTTCCCCTCTGTCACATGGGGTGGCTTGAGTTTGAATGGACTCAATAACACCTAACAACACCAACAAAAATTATTAATGCACTGTACTACCAAGTCGGTTTGAACCACAAGATCAGCGGTTCAAGCTCACCAGTCACTCCTTGGAAACCCTAAACAGGGTCGCTATGGGTCGGAACTGATTTGACAACACTTATCACAGTAACAACAATGTGTCTTTCAGAACCCTGGTGGTTTAGTGGGTTACACATTAGTCTGTTAACCACATGGTCGATGGTTTGAACCCACCAGCAGCAGTTCAATGGGAGAAATAATAGGCTTTCTGCTCCCACAGATATTTAGAGCCTCTGAAACCCCATACAGGAACACAGCACAGAACAACAGTGTACTTTACAATACTGTTGTTAGATGTCACTGTGTGGGTTCCAACTTATAGCGACTTTATTCACAACAGAACGCCATCCTCACAATCATTGTTACACTTGTTACACTTGAGTCCATTGCTGCTGCCACGTGCCAATTCATCTTGTTGGGGGTTTTCCTCTTTTTCACTGACCCTCCACTTTACCAAGCATGATGTCCTTCTCCGGGGACTGGTCCCTCTTTTCCAAAGTGTGAGAGACAAAGTCTGGCAATCTTGGTTTCTAAGGAGCATTCTGGTTATCCTTCTTCCAACACAGATGTATTTGCTCTCCTCACAGTCCTTGCTGCTTTAAATATTCTTCTCCAGCACCGTAACTCAAATACATTAATTCATCTACAGTCTTCCTTATTCATTGTCCAACTTTCACACGTATATGAAGCTATTGGAAATACCACGGCTTGGGTTAGACGCACCTTAGTCCTCAAACTGACATCTTTGCTCTTGAACACCTTAAAGAGTCTTGTATAGCAGACTGGCCTAATGTAATATGTCATTTGATTTCTTGACTGTTGTTTCCATAAGTGTTGATGGTAGATCCAAGCAAAATGAAGTCGTTGACAACTTCAATCTTTTCTCCATTTATCATGATGTTATTTATTGCTCCAGCTGTGAGGATTTTTCTTTTCTTTATGTTGAGGTACAACCCATATTAAAGGCTGTGCTCTTTGATCTTCATCAGTAAGTATTTTAAGTCTTCTTCACTTTTAGCAAGCAAGGTTGTATCATCTGCATATCGCAGATTGCTGGTTTGGGGGGAAGTCTTACAAAGCATATTAGTTCCCCATTTAACAATGTAAATGCATTTTCTTTCCTGATATGAGTTGCAGTCCCGCCATAAAACAGCACTCTTCCCACTTCCTCCCTGAATTCCCTGTTTCCATGCATCCTTCTTTCCTCCCTTTCTTGCCTCCCGAATTTGTTTTGGGGCCAATGCTCCCGTTTACATCTCATATGGTATGGTTGATTGTCCTGAGGAGTACGTTCCTCACAAGTGTTATTATTCACCTTATAGGCCTGGCAGGTGTTTGTCTGAAAAGTTTCAGGTTTGAAGCCTGTCTAAGGGCCATCGTCTTGGGAGTTCCACCCCCACCCCCCCCCCCCCCGGCCCCATTGTGCCTTTATTCACCTAAGTTCATTAAATGTTTCAAAGATCCTGCAAACTCAGTGACCACTTACAAATGTCATGTGGGATGTAAATCACCCCCTCAGCAAGTTACTTTTATTTGGTCTTCAGATGTTTGTTATAGAAATCTTATCAATCGTGTAGTAATTGCAAGAATGTCAGATATGACAACGTATACGTACAATCTAAACAAGACAGATGGGTTAAGCAATTTATATCATGTGACAAAAATATTTATAATAGAAGTGGGCGCTGTGGACAGCCACATGCAGGGGAAGAGAAGGTGTCAGGAAATAGGTCTCTATGAGCGGCAGAGAGAACACCTGTGGCCGAATTAGGACTTTTCCCTCCAGTAACTGTCACTAACAGACCAGGATCTTACCCTCACCTAAACACACCTGTCTAAACTCTGACTGTGTGTGCTGCACACACAGTCTACAGGGACTGATCTTTCGGGAATACTCCCACGACGACAATAGTAAATAGTAAGCCCATGCAAGGACCAGGAAGCATCATTTGTTCAGGGCTGAATTTCAAAGACATTAAACCCTTGACCATTCATCTCATTTCCCCTTATCCCCTTTTTTTTTCCCTTGAATTATTTTTTTTTTTTAAGTTTTTATTTTGAATTGAGTGATGGTTTACATGGGAGAACATCGGTTTTGCACTCGTCCTTTCATTGCAATGATTACAATCTACTACGTTCATCATCATTCAACAGTATTTGCTTCTATTCCCCCTGGGGTTTTCTTGTTTGTTTGTTTATTTGTTTTGTTTTGGGAAGGGTGATGAACACAGAAACACTCAGGAATATATAATCATTTACACAACCAAAGGGCACATTCTGCAAGCCTGCCCCCTGGCCACCAGCAAACAGCCTTTCTCTTCCCATGAGTCTAGAGTCCTCAGCTGCTCTTTCTTTCCATGTCCTCATCTCTGCCTCCATCTCTGGTTTTGCTGTTTCTCTGGATAGGGTCCCAGATTCCGTTTGTGCTCTTCCCTCTGATGGTCCTAGGGTCCTCTGTTCCTGGACTGTAGGATTAACTACTCCTTCCTTATCCTCTTTTTGCTCTGAGGGCTTCTGCAAATCAGCACCACTGCTAACTGTATCTAGCTAAACCCTTGCTGGGTCACTGGGCATGGTCTTTCCTCCTCAAATTATACAACAAACTTGGGCCTGTATATTTTTAAATATGATTCTAGTGGTGGTAGTGTGCCATGAAGTCGGTTCCAACTCATAGCAACTCTGTATAGGGTTTCCGAGGCTGTAAATCTTTACGGGAGCAGAAAGCCTCATTTTTCTCCCACAGAACGGCTGGTAGTTTAGAGCTGCTGACCTTGAGGTTAGCAACCTGACTCGTAAATACTACTCTTATAGCTCCTGAAAAACATGGAGGAGGAAGTTCTATTTCTGTTGGTGATCTTGTAAAATGTATAGAAGAATAAGGAAACAGATGTAAAATCAGAATTCTAGTGGGGAAGCCATCACCAATACCACTTATCTATTGGTACAAATAGATATTTTTTTAAGACATTCTCATATATGCAGGGGCATAGGTAGCTCCATAGTAGAATTCTTGTCTTTCATACGGAAGACCTAGGTTCGATACCTTGCCATTGCATTTCATGCACGGCTACCATCCACTCCTCAGTGTTATTAAGATGTTGAACAGATTTCAATGGGACTTTCAGACTAAGATGGACTTGGAAGAAAAGTCTGCAAATACCCAGCCACTGAAAGCCTTGTGGATCTTAACAGCTCTACCTACAACCCATCTGGGGATGGCATACAACCAGGAAACATTTCCTTCCTGCGCATGGGGGTTTCCATAAGTTGAGGGTCGACTGGACAGCAGCTAATGGCAGCAGTCAGTATGGGCAGGCTGAGGCCTACCTCATTCATGCAGATTCTGCCTACAATGTGCTGTCTTGTTGAGATCTTGCAAAACTGGCAGCGATGCCCCTCTCTGCACCTTCTGGGAAAAGAAGTCAGCTCAGGTACTGGTAGACAGAGAAGTCTTTTGCATCCTTGGAGGAGAAGGTAGAAGCTGGTGTGTATCTTCTGCCAACATCAGGG